TCAGTGGTAGGGTGCTGAGCTTCCAATACTCAAGGTTCGAGGTTCGAATCCTGGCTTATGGCCGATAAATTATTTATTCCGTTTCGTTAGCCGGGGATCGTCTGTGGGGTCTGGAGACTCTTCTGGGGCACACCTAGCCTCTATAAAGTGGATATCCTTAATTAAATAATTAATTAAGAGCGTAAACCTGGCGGTTGTGCGTGATCTCGGGCAAATCACCTCATTGCACAACCGTTGACCAAAAAACAGTCCTTTTAATAAGTTGTATAGAATACTAAATACTTCATAGATTGTAGTGGTACAGGTTTTATTAAAACAATCAAAGAAATATGTGCTACAATTAAAGAATTTCTTAATTTATTATTTAAAAAATGTTGGCTTCAATATCACAATAAGAATAAAGATATAGTTTTCGCGTTTCCTGAAATTTTGTCAACGATGATACACTTTGCCAATAAACGACTCAATTATTCTATTTGTGGCTCGTTTTGAATATTAAAACAAGAAGAAGGTATACTTAGGTTATTTCCAAACCTACTCTGTCTTAGGTCTTCTTCATTGCATTTTCTGTAGTTTTTTAAGATTGAATATAGATTAATAATCGTCTCTGTTCTATGACAACTAGCATAAGGTGATTTGTTAAAACAAGATTTCACAACACATAAGATTCTGGAAATTAAGTAATAGTTTCCATAATAATTTAAAAGTAATATAATCTTGTATTTTCTCATAAGGAATTATCAGTTTTGTGACTATTTCGTAATGTCAAATTATGGTTTTCTCTGAAAGATTCTTTTCATTATACAAACTTTTGACTATGAATCCAATAATCAATAATCCATAATCAATCCAATTTTACTACCCTACTCTGTATCGTTTAGGTAACCCCCACCTCCTCCCAAATTGCAGCTCATGAGTTCCCCTAGGCTTCACCGACTTCATGTTTTCGTATTTAGTCTCGACTTTTTCATTTCTTCCCTTATCATTAATCATTATTTCGGCTTTTTTTAAACGATATTTTTAACCTGGTTCTTTCTGTTATCTCCTTTAGTTCATTCTGTTGATTAACACCTGATTTGTACTCATTCCCTCTTTTTTTCCGCTAGACTTATCGGATTCTCAGAATATTCTCAAACTTTTGTCTAACACTATATTGAATAAAATGGTGTGACAGACCGTCTCCTTGTCTTAACCCTGTTTATCCCGGTTCACTAATTTCTCCCTTGAATTTAATTTTAGCGAATGCTCCAGTAAAAGTTAGTTTAAATTTATAATTTTCTGGTCTATTCCGTATTCCTTCATTATCCGACCAAGTATTTCTCTAATCAACAGATCGTAAGGCTTTTTGGAAATCCAATATATATATATGTTTCTAAAAAATTAGTTCCAGCTAATATTTTCTTGAGATTATATTTTATTTTGCCTTCTTAATTGTTTAAATAATTTATTAATGTTATGGTATGACGCTTATTTATATGCTAATACACGACTCATCTACGAGATTAATATGAAAGAGAAAAATTAAATATCTTTACAAACTTAAGTATGTAATATTACAGGTATATCATTTTAACAATAAATAAACTTAATGATCTGCTATAAATTGTGATAAAAGTCAATGAGCTAAAATTTAGATATTTAAAGAGAAGGGAGTTTGAAAGAGTTAAGTACAAAAACGATAAGCTTGTATCGAAATAGGTCAGGGGAAATACAATAATATCAGCAGGCTTTTCACAACTCATACCTCAACTTGACGTTTGCTTTATGTGGATTTTTGAATAAGTAACAAGAAAAAATAATCAAGTCTTCTACTTTTCCCTAATAAAAATATATTTCTTTGTTTCCTTATGTGAATATGTTTCAACAAAGGACTTGCAAGGTTTTAGATATAAATCATCGATATACACGACGTAAAAATAATACACATATTTTGTATGCTCATGTTCAATTATTGATAGAAGAAGCATAAAATGTTTGAAGGCAAAGAGTAATAATTAATTAGATAAATCAAAACATAGACTTAGGTTTACGAACAATCTAGTATGATATTGAACAAAGTTGATACTTTAGTTACACATTTAAAATAAAATGTTTGCTGTGCATGATTCCATTTGAGCAGGATATTGTTCGGAATATTTTCAACATTTTATAATAAAATCACAATTGCTTAGGCTATAACCGTATTCGATGTTTCGAATGTTAAATTATTAAGTTGAGATTTGATCTTTTAATGAAATTTCAAAACTGCGTTAGACTATTATAATACTGATTTCTTCCCATCAATAAAACTTTCGAATAAGAAGATACTTATGATAGACAAAACCTGAATAGGGTTTTATGTTGAATTTCTACTAAAATTGTATATAAACGGAAAATAACACAATAAACTGACTAAACGAAACTATAAACCATGTTAACAGGTAACAACGTTCCAAAACAATGATAGTTACACAAAGAGGATAAGAACAGCCTAAATAAAAAAGGTTTAATAGGCACGGACGAACTGCTAAAACGCAGTTGGAGCAGGATCTTTTGTTGAAGACCGGATCAGGTTGGACCCCCTACCTGTTTGGGCTAACAACGAATCCCTTTACACTACGCACTTGCCCCACTATTCAGTATAATAATGTCCACAAAAACTTGTATACAAGTGGAAACATAACAGTGACGATCACACAAAGAGTAAATCAACTTGAAGAAATGAAATATTTTTTTAAAGCTAGGTATATTTCATACACTTCAGAAAGGGTGACCTACAAAATTACAGGCAAAAATCTAAATTTTCTTTAATAGTGAAATCATGGATTGTTCATAATGATACAACGGACATGTACATAAATACCATAATTTATTACGCTACGGTTAATTTTGCGTTTATTGTACTTAAAATAAATTAAATTTATAGAAACCTTTTTCTCTGGCCTTAGGAAGAAGTGAACGAAATATTGTGAGTTTTCTTCCATTAAGTGCTCAAATGGAATAAAAAGAAGGTGTTTAGTTTATCAAATTAAAAAGTAATTTTCCTTATCCCAGAGTATGTATGTATATAAATATATATATATATATATATATATATATATATATATATATATATATATATATATATATTTATTTATTTATTTATAATATGTATTTGGATGGTTAACTCTTGAAGAGTAGGCCTAAATTTAAGTGAAAAAAAAAATAGCCAAAGTTTTAAACAATAACACTTGAAAAATAAATAAAATATGTCCTCCATTTTCTTGTTTGTGTTAGGTTAGTTGTTTTTTGTCATTTCTGTAGATTAAAAGATTTTTTTATTTGACAAATTTAAATAAATTGGTACTTTTTACTGTGATAAACAAAATATTAACATTAATTGTTTTAATATCTCCGCTGGCTTTAGTACCAGTGACGCGGTTGGGAGAGTAGCGCAGGGTTCTCCTGGAGTTCCCTCGCCTGATTGTATATAGGTATGCATGTGTTTTTTTTTTTTTTTCCTTAGTTTTAATTTTCTTATTTTTTAGGTTATTTTATTTTATTGTCTATTGTATATACTTTTGATTATTATTTTGTTCTATTTATTTGATTTTTTTGTACATATGGTGTGAATGTCATCCTACCTCACTATAACCAATGTCCAACAGACAGATTGTTATAATACTCAATAAAGAAAATTGTTTCATTCAAAAAAAAAAAAAAAAATTGTTTTATTAAAAAAGAAATGCCTCAACGTTGAACGCATACCCTTTCTTTTAAAGATTAAAATATAGAGATTAAAAATGTCGAAGATCGCTATATTGATTTTTTTTCGATATATTAAAATAAATATGCAAACTATATACATCACTATTTATACACCTAAAAGTTAGACTAGTCATTGTAATAAATATAAAATGTTAAGATCCTCCTCCCTTCCTGTCAACAGAATGGACTAGTGGAGAGGAAAAAGGTGAAGAAATCTTTGTTCTTAAGTCCCAACGTCAAAAAATTAAAAATGAAGAAAACTACGTAGTATACCTTTGCGGTATCGTATGAAGTCTATAAATATAACGCAGGGACAAACTTTTAAGCATATTGGAGTCGATTTTAAAGAATACTGATAACTTTATGTCGACTTACCTAGACCTGCCAGCATATATTTACAGCACGAAGTTTGAATCAGTTGGTCCGTTCATTTTTTTTTTATATTTAAAAATAAAATGTGTTTTTCGGCAATTATGTTTATGACAATACATATATAAGGAAAAAACAAGACATAAAAGCTATCCAATTATTAAATTTAGTCATTTTTACAGAAAACACGGATACTTTAAGGTGAATGGATAGGAAATCACATAATTTCTTTACACAACTTGAGGCGAATTTCAAAATTATTCCTAACAAACCTCAACTTAATATGTACTTAAAGCTTATCAACAGAAGATACATTTGTAAAAGTGGGGTAAATGTAGTACAGTAAAATGGTGATAAAATAAAATGACAAATAATTTATGACTTTTTTAAAAAGTAAACTTAGCTGTGTTTGTCCGCCCAATCTTTAAATAGTTTTAACAATGACAAAATCTGCTTCCGTTCGAAGTAAATATCGTTTAGTTTACTATAGAATAAGGTTTAGTTACTTAAATCAAATATTTTTTATGTTATCGCTTCCTAATCAACCAAAAATGTGACTCACTTAAAAAAACACGAATCTTAAATTTCCTACTTTTCTGGTGGAAGTTGTGCATTTGTTTATATGAACTTTTTTTTGTAGATCTTGATGTTTATTATCGACCATTTAAATATTTCTCTCCACTTATGGGAAACTCGGTATAGTGTGAATGTAGTCTTAGCTCACTATAATTATCGTCCTTGTGATAGAATGTTATATATATTACTGTATAAAAAAAAAAAATAGACTATTGTTAAAAACAAGATGATATAGCAAGCAGTAACGTTCATCACTTACAATGATGCTTGTTGTAGTAAAACTAATAAATGTATAAATCAAAGTAAAATAAAAGCGCCTACCGGCCTTTATGATCCAGGCAGTAACGGAAGTTGTGTTTATTTTGTACAGGACTGTGGGAAGCCCTGTTGCGGACCCCCGCCGGGTGACAAAGAACTCCTTTACCTTTATCTCGTGTTTACCCTTTCCCGGTAGGACCGTCCAATAACTCCTAAACTCGACAACTTCACGCTCACTCCCGCACTCCTCACTACTATTACACTACTACACCATCCCACGCAGCTTTACGACCACCTTTACGACCTCTTGATTGATCGTGCTCCTTTACGGCCGAACGAACTGTACTCACTGCAGCGCCTACCTTCAACGGCTAACGCCAACAGTCCAGGTTATGGCACATAAACAAACCAAACTAAGGGCAGGGAACCCATCAATTGAAACGGTATTTTTATTTTCCAAGCAATCCACAATATATACTCTTTATCGATTTACATCGATACTATTCACGTCACACTTCACACCTTTTACAATTATGTAAATTATTACATTTAAACTTGTTAGGTTATACTTGGAAAAATTAGAAGGATGGATGGAGAAACGTGGACGGTTTTTTTTGTACCTGAATTTCGGATAGATAGAAGATAGATAGATAGAAAAAAAAACTTTATTCTGGGACTAAGTCCCTTCAGAATAACAATAATGTACAAAATAATAGAATATTACTGGCCTGAACGTTGAAACAATAAATAAAATTGATAAAATAAAATAAAAAGTAAAGAAAACCTTAGGTGCACAAGCTATATACAAACAGATAAAACTATGTACAGAGCATTTAAAATTATGAACAAAACAATCAAAACTATGAACGAATCACTTGAACTATGAACAAAATTATATTTAAGGGTTGAACAACATAAACATACACTTTGAGAAATGAAGAACGAGAAAGAGATACAATGAGTTCATTTCATAAAAAAAAACAAAAAAAACTTTACTTGAATATATATATAAAAATAAACAGTTACTTATAATTGAATAAAAAAAAAATATATAAAAAAAAATGTATGTATTGAAATTCCTACGTCGATAGTAGGAAATGCATGTACTATCTCTTACCAAGTGTTATGATTATATGATTGCTACACAATACATATATAATATCAATAGTTAGCTGGTATCAGACTGTTTTTGGAACAGGAATTGGAATAGGAGGTTTTTGAATGTATACAGGGAAGGGGCATGTCGAATTTTGATCGGGAGGGAATTCCAAAAGTTGACAGAGCGGGCTATAAAGGAATTTTGGAATGAGGCAGATCTATGAGAAGGGATGTATAGGTCAGAGGGTCGGGATCTTGTAGTGAGTGAATGGATTGAGGACTTAAATTGGAGAAGGTTGTAGGCATAAGAAGGACGATGATCGGTAATGATTTGATAAAGGAAAGCGCCAAGGAAATATTGTCTTCTTAAGGAGGGGAAGAGCCACCCTAACTCAGTGTAGTGGTGGGAGACACGGGAGCGTCTCGGGGTTCCAATTACAAATCTTACGAAGCAATTCATAAGTCTTTTGAGTCTATCACGCAGTTCCACCGAGAGGCCATCGTACACCACACAGCTGTAGTCAAAGTGGGGAAAGATGAGAGAGGAAACTATGAGTCTACGGGTATTTTGGGGTAGAAGATGGCGGAAGTGATGGAATAGTTTGAGGGTAGAAATTGCACGGCGGGATATATGAGAGATATGGTGATTCCAGGAAAGGGTTTGATCTATGAGAAAGCCTAAATTTTTAACAAAGGGATAGAAGGTGATGGGGTGGTTATTTAGATAGAGTGAGGGAAAGTTGGTGTGGGATCTAAGAAGGGGCTTGGAACCAATGAGAATGGCCTGAGTTTTGGCAGCATTTAGCCTTAATCCATTTAAGTTGGCCCAGGCACTAATTCGATCTAAATCTTCTTGAATTTTGGCAAATGCCACCAATAACTCAACGGGAGAAAAGGATAAATAGATTTGAGAATCGTCGGCATAAAGGTGGTGGGAACAATGGATAATTGAATCATTTAGGTCATTAATATAAGAACTGAAAAGAAGAGGAGACATGCTTGAACCCTGTGCAACTCCTGAGGATAAAGGAAGGTAGGCAGATAGAGGTTGATTAGGTATGGAAACTGCTTGGGTTCGTTGTGAGAGGAAAGACTGGAACCAAGAGATGGAACTATTGGAGAAGGATAATGATTTTAGTTTGTTGAAAAGGATGGAATGGATAATGGAATCGAAAGCTTTGGAGAAATCAAGCAGTATAAGTATGGTTAGTTTTTTGTCATCTATTGCAGTCTGGATATCACTAGTAATTTTAATCAGAGCAGATTGTGTAGAGTAGCCAGGACGGAAGCCAGATTGGAGAGGATCGAGTTGGTTGGATTGTTCAAGGTAGTTGGAAATTTGGGATTGCACTAACTTTTCTAGGGGTTTAGAAAGATTGGAAAGGATTGATATTGGGCGGAAATCTTCGGGAGAGGATGGATTAGGCTTTTTGTTTAAAGGAAGGACAATGGCTTTTTTCCAAGAGGTCGGGAATATTGAATTCTGCAGGGATTTCCGATGACGGAAAGTGGAGGTTTTCAGAGGAGCGTGGGTATTGAGTATATTGAGAAGATTGGTGGTGAGAATATCAACCATGGTGTCGACAGAGGAGCAATGATATATTCCATTCAAATCCAATGTTACTAGATCAGGTAATATTTTTTCTCGAGTAAGGGTATCCAGTTGGCGGAAAGTGATAGTTCGAGGATGGATTGGAGGAGTGCGGATATTATACGTTATTTGTATCAGATCATGAGATGAAAGAAAGGATACTGGCAATTGAGAGGCGGAGAGGAGGTTTTGTGCTGAGTCGATGATGTAGTAGTCTAGCCAAGTGTCAGATCTGGTGGTGTGGTGGGTGGAGGAAAAAGGAACGATGAATAGGTGAAGTGAGAAAAACAGTCTAAGGATACGTAAGGATGTGTGATAATTTTCTCCAATTGTAGCTTAACATTGGTTTTCTGTTTCTTGATGTGTTTTTACTGAATTACATTTGTATATAAAAGTTGAAAACAAGTTTAATATTATAGACAAATAATCTAATAATGATAATCGATATTGTATGATAACCAGATGATTTGGGAATAGACTACTAACGAATGGAGAAGAACAGAAACTACTGAATGTGAGGAGATTGAGAGTGATAGGTGATATAGCTAGGAGCAATCTATCAGGAAGTCTCTACACAACAAAGAGACGACGTGGAAGGCCAAAAACCAGATAGAAAGATGGAATGAACAAAGATGATGTAGAGCAGGGGTTCTCTAACTAACTACGGCCTAGATAATAGAAGCAAGCACCTTCCGGCCCGCGTTAGTTTGTTGATATGGTAAAATTTTTTTGTTTGTTCTTTTTTCGCTTTAAGACTAGTAAAATCAAATAGTGATCAGTCAAATCAGTGAAATATTTTAATTCTCATAGTAAGATGAAATTACACTGGATATTTATAGATAAGATGATCTCTGAATGTAACTAAATATTGAATGTAAATTATATAGAACTTTAACTAGAAAGAGTGATAGTTAACTGAGGTGACAGTAGTTTCATAACAATTAAATGAGAATAAGAAGTGACTTTTATAATATAACTGATTTTATGTCATTCAAAAACTTTATCATGTCACGGGCGTTATCTTTATTCATCGACCGAAGAATGTCAGCTCCATCATCCTTAGTTCTAATCCTGAACTAATTCTTACTAGCTTCTCGAATCTTTTACACTCGAAGGTAATGTGTCTTGGATCCTCCAAGCATTGGCATGTTGGGCAGTGACCACTCTTAGCTATACCCATTAGATGCAGATATTTATTAGTTCTACCATGATTTATCCTAAGCCTGATCAGCTTTACTAAACTGCAGCGGCCGAGGTGAGATATAAGAGTCGCAAACCATGGAACCGGTGTTATCTTCTGTTGAACTGCATGATGGTCCTTAACCTTCGAGGCACATTCCCAGTCGTAGAAATGCTGTCAGTCTTTCATTGATTTCCCCTCACTATTGTTATCAAATCCATGGTAAAATTTTAAATTTAGCAAATTACGCTTTTACTACATTGACTGTATGTAGTACATTGCTGTTTTTTCTCTTAGAAAGTTCATTTCACAGTTGATGTGTCATTCGTAGATTTTATCACAACGCATGACCCGCGGGTCTTGGGTGGATGTTTCAATGCGGCCAGCGGAACTAAGCCGAATTCTCAATGTTGCCTCCTGCGTGCGGTCCAAAAAGTTTGGAGAGCCCTGATTTAGAGCTACATGCAGACAACTGGAAAGGTATACCATAAGATAGAGTCAAAACAGGCTGATCATGACACCAAAAGATCCAAAAGGGTTGTAAAGCCAACAGGAAAAAAATCTAATAGTGGTAGCCTCCGTTTTTAAACTACCATAATATGATAATTTCAAGGTTTGCAATAACAACAGAATAAAAATGTCTTGGGACTGAGGAAGCTATGAAGCATGGATATGACTTTTCGTCTAAAACTAAAAATAATATGAAGATTTTCATAATGGAGAGCTGTCAGATTCATGGAGAATGTTGAGAAATGTGAGGAGAGCAACATATGAATAAGACAAATATATGAAAGATCAGTCTCGCTAATATATACAATGTGTTTACAGACAAAAATGTAAATCAATGAAAAATACAAAGAAAGATAACTGATGGACCAAAAATATTATAAAGTAGTTTGCAAGAGATCAATCTTCAGAAGTGTAACAACTTAAGCCACATATTTACAAACTAAATACAACACATCTCATCAATAATCCAAGGTGGAGAATTTCCAAATTTAATTTTTATCAAATAGAAATTATGCTTTCTTTTTCGCAATGAGTTCTTTAAATATGGTGAAATGCAATAAATCGGTCTATCGCAGTTAGTAACCTTTTTAGGAATTTCTTGTTTATCTTTGATGCTATTTTGCCTCCCCTGGTTATGCCTGTCAGTACAGGTCGTGTCGGTCTCGACTAGCTAATATGCACAAAACGTTGTCGGTGAATCTATGGTTATAAAGGGTCACTTTTTCCGTTCTTTGCTTTACAAATCCTGCCCGAGAGAAGATTTTAAATAATCCGCAACCCAAGAAATCTACCACACGTTGTCAAGCCACAAAAGCACATATTTCCACCGTTTCTTTTCAAGATTAAATTTCAAACGGACCGTTTATCATTGGAAAGAACTCACCTTAAATATAAAATTTAGTCCTAAATTTAGTAATTGACTTAAATATTGGAAGATTATAGATCACAACCAAGGATTAAAGCTGCCCTCTCACGTGTCACCATTGAATAATTAACATTACACAGACTTTGTAATGTAATTTAT